TGTCGACTGCACCACTCAGCTTGGTGTCACCTGCAAACTTGCTGTGGGTGCACTCGATCCCACTGCCTATGTCATTGATGAAGATATTAAACAGTACTGGTCCCAACACGGACCCCTGCGGGACGCCACTCATCACCAATCTCCATCTGGACATTCAGCCATTGACTATTACCCTCTGGTTGCGACCATCTAACCAATTCCTCACCCACCGGACAGTCCACCCATCAAATCCATACCTCTCCAATTGAGAGAGAAGGATGTTGTGGGGGACTGTGTCAGAGGCCTTACAAAGGTCCAGATAGGCGACATCTGTAGCCCTTCCCGTGTCCACTGATGTAGTCACGCCACCACAGAAGGACACTAGGTTGGTCAGGCAGGACTTGCCCTTGGTGAAGCCTTTAACTTTAACTTAACGCACGCATATTCTGGAGTTAAAGGACCTTCAGTTAAAGTTAAGTTTTTTGATGGGAAGTCGTCTTGGTCACTGAGTTGATTTTTCTGGTCTTACTTTGGACCTGAAGCTGTGTATGTATGATAGAAACCTTTTCTATTTCTATCACTTGGCCTGCTATAAGTTTCCCTACGAGTCTCTTGAGATGTGGTGACATCTGGTGACTGCTCGAGAGTATTGCATGCTTAATCACGTTCACCTTTGTGAACAGCTTTTTCAGCCTCTAATACTTGTTATTGCTTGAACAACAGGACTGTGATACTTGTGTTCACTACAGAAAGCAGCATGGTCTGTTGAGTGAGTTGAGTCTTGAGAGACCCCAGATCTGCCACAGGCTGGCTTGAGAAGCTCTTCTGTTTTGGACTGATCTCTTCTCTGTATTCTTCACCCACAAGATCACGTTCCTGGAATGGATGAAGAAGGTTACTAGAGATCTTTTAGGATTTAATCCTAAAAACTTGTGTCTTGTGATCTACCAGCTTGGAAGGCTGAAGATGTGAATTCATAACCCTTGTGAGCTTCATTATTCTTCTCAGTTTCTCCTTGGCTAAGCAAAGCCAAGGGGTTTTATTTTGCTTTTAAGTCTCAGAAGAAGCCTAACAGTTAAACCGATGGACTGGGGAAGCACATGGCTAGGAAGAGACTGCATGTTCTTGAGAGACAAAGCACTTAAGAGCCGAAGCACTAGTCTCTCCTAGCCATATTGAGTTGAGCTTGTGATCAGTGAAGCTGGAGGTCTTTAGCATTATACAACCTTGCATGGAAGAAAATGCCAGTGTCGTGTCCATTACGTCTTTCATACTAGGTTTTCCTTGACTTCTACAGCAAAAATTGCACCTCAAAGTTACAGCTATGATTGTGTAGGGTCCTTCTGAGTAATGTTTGGCTTCTTCGAAGTACTTCGTGGTTACTGAGCATGCATAATAAGCAGTGTTTGAGAGGTCAGCATTTAAGCATTTGCTGATTCCAGTGTTTGAACCTGTTGGACGTAGCTGTTTGGAGGGGTAGGCATTACTGTCTTGAAATGGTTCTGTAGGACCCACTATGGTGAGTCAAGGGCTGGAATGTCTTTTTTCTTAATGCCAGGGACTATCTTCTCTGGTGCTGTATTCACGTGGACAGAAAGGGGAGAGTGTCCCAAATGTGGTGGGTTTAGGAAAGCATTCCAGTGGATGCCTGTTGTATTGCCATTTGTAAACGTCAAATCCCAATCCCACCCAAACTGAGAGGAGAGAAAAACTACCCTTAGGGAGTACACCTGGGAGTGAAGTGCCCAACTGTTGTTCTCCAGAAACTGCTATATATTTGGGGTGTTTGCATTTTTTTTTTCCTGAGTGTAAAAAAACCTTCTGTTAGAAATGCTAGCAGGGAACTTCACTGTGTGATGAAACAAGACTTTTTTTTTTTTTTTTTTTTTTTTTTTTTTTTTTTTTTTTTTTTTTTTTTTTTTTTTTTTAAGTGGGGAGGAAAGTTTATAATCTAGACTCCTGGGAGCAACAGAGGAAGTCTCCAATCTTCTCCCTGCTTGCAAGCATTCCCTGCAGAGACCACTTTGTAAGTGATACAGAACAAAATGTGAAAACATGATATGCTGTTTCTTTCCTTTATGTGGCTTCCTG